CTTCATGTCACACATCAATTCTACAATGAAAGCCAGGAATTTCATCTTACTCACCACCACTGAATCTTCTGTTACATAAGCTACCTGTGGAGGGCATTCTGCTTGTCTTCTCCTTATGTCACTCACCTCACCACATGTTGCAACCTTTTTGACAGCCTCAGTATAAGACACCCCTTTGTTAGTCTCCCTAAACTGCTGCACCCTCATCGCCTGCTTATATTGTTCACATTCACGATTTCCAGCTACGTGCCCTCCACCACATGAACTACACTTTACCACCTTCTCCTTGCACTCAGAGAACTCGTGTTCTCCTCCACATTTCCCACATCTTCTATTTCCTCTACAAGCAGCCGCAATATGTCCATACCTCTGACACTTAAAACACCTCAAAGGTGGCCTTCTGTATGGCTGCACTTTAAATGATAAGCACCCTGGGAACACTCGTTCTGGAAAGATCACACCACCACAGTTGATGATTCCCGCTTAGCTCCATCATGAAAGATTTTAATTCGTGTGGCCTCATCAACCTTCACCCCCTCTATGCCCTTCACCAACTCAACCATGGAAACCTCCAGAGAAACCCCATAAATCACCCCTTTCAAGCCAGCCTTGCTTCCTTTAATAAATCCTTCCACCCGCTTCTTCCCTATCGCATCCAGTGAAACAGCTGTGTTCAACTGAGCCGCAGACTTAAAATACAAGCAGTTTCCCATCAGCCAAAATTCTTGCACTCAGGATATCACCCAACTCTTCCTTCAATGCCCCAGCAAGCCTAATTGGGTTGAGAGAACTAAACCCAGACTGCCCTTCCTTCAACTTAAAAACCACTTTATAGTCTTCCGACTGGCTACTGCTTCTTCTCATTACCTTTACCTACTGATCTCTCCCTCCATCTGACTCTTGTGAATCACTAGTTTTATTTCTCCTTTTCCTATTCTTCCCCTTATTATTTCTTTCCCATCAGCACCCACCATCATCCGTGTCCTGCATTGCAGGAACAAAGTCTTAATTATTGTGCGCTACTGACTGATATTCCAGCACTAGTTAGACTAAATTGGGTAACACCGCTTGTCAAACAATTCTGCTGCCTCGTCGTCGTCCGAGCCAGTCTTCCTGTCCCGGTGAAACTGTTGCTTCTGGATGGCCTCATGTGGCCCCCCAAAGGACTGTTACAGCTAACAAGTCAATATAAAACGTAATATAATAGCCACTATTACCTGGATAACGTTTATCTCCTAATGTTTCCGTCGACAACCGCAGGGATCAGGAATCATTCAGGATGCTCTTTTTCGATCCCACCGAACATACTGCGGCTGCGCTGCACCGTAGCGCTTGTAGTTCCGAACCGTTGACAGTCAACACACTCGGGGGGCTGAAGAACTACAAGTCCCATGATTCATGTGAGCAGTAAACGGGAACCGCGTGATTCCCAACATGACACCCGTTCGCATGGATCCCACCCATGCGATTACGATTTAGGGCAGGTTCTTATCACTTAGGAGCAGAAAAGTGGAAATCTCGTTATTGATCAACATTTGAAAACTTTCTGTCAGTGACAAAAATATAGTTTGTCACTCACTCTCACCACTGACAAGCTATATTTTAGTAATTAGTAAAATTTAGTAAAATGTCTAAAAGCAATATTTCAATAAATCGTCTTCTTGTTGCTGAGACTAATGGTCCCTGTCCAAGATGGTCAGACTTTTCCAGTTGAAAGCTTTCAGGTGCACCACGCCAAATGTAAACAATAAACATGCCTGAACCTGACAAACTGGTGTTTCTTGTGTACACACAACTGAACTATCAGCAGTGCCCTTGGTGTCAATTAAAATTTAACAACAAACAAACTGGCCAAGCATTATTTCCCACCAGATTTTCAACAGCTCTGCTTCTTGAGTAAGCTACTTGTTAGTTAGGGTGGGGTTAGGAAGGGATTAGAACGGGGTTAGGACGGGGTTAGGGCTAGGGTCAGGGTTAGCCAATCAGAGGCAGAGTAGGGGGCAGAACTTGACCCAGACACCATAATAGTGCAATGGTTAACAATCAGTTTAAAGGCAACTTAAATTATGTGTGCCTGTATTTCATTAACAAAATAAATACTATCAAATAGTAAAACATGTTCTACATGTAAATTGATCTCAATATGTTGGCAATGTTATTAGGTAGCTGGTTATAAGATAAGATAACATGAGATATACCTTTATTAATCCTCCATAGGGGAAATTCAGGTTGACACATCAGTACAGAGGAATGTAAAAGAACAGATACCATCAAAGTAGAATCAGTAACAGTAACATTCTACGTAGATGTATAACACACTGTATATACGCTATACACAATCAATATACAATTAACAGTTATTTACAAACAGATAAGTCAAAGTATGATCGAGAATCAAGAATAGAGTCTGTCAGTTGGGTGCTGTGGTGTTGTGGAGCCTGATGGCACAAATGAGCCACCAAAGCGCTTTGAGGCTCGGGGCTGGATGACTCTATGGCTGAGGGAGCTCCTGAGCTGCCCCAGCTCAGCACAGCAAAGAAAATGACACTGGCCACTACAGACTGGTAGAACATCCATAGCAGCCTGGTGCACACATTGAAGGACCTGAGCCTCCTCAGCAAGAACATCCTGCTCTGTCCTTTCCTGTAGAGGGCCTCAGCGTTGTCTGACCAGTCCAGTTTTGTTGTTGAGTTACACCCCTAGTAACTTGTAGGTGTCCACTATCTTCACCCTCTCCCCTCTTATTATGACTGGGGTGTGGGGCCTCTTGCTGCGTCAGAAGTCCACAACCAGTTTCTTGGTGTTAAGCTGGAGATGGTTGCTGTCACACCATCCAATGAAGCTCTCAATAAGGTCTCTGTACTCATCCTCTCTGTCATCTGTAATACAGCCAATGATGGAGGAGTCATCTGAGAACTTCTGGAGGTGGCTCGTTCCAGGGTCGAAGCAAAAGTCAGAGGTGCAGAGAGTGAACAGAAACGTTGGCGTTCCTTGGGGTGTACCAGTGTTTCTCGTCACCACGTCTGACAGGCAGCCACGCAGCCTGACATACTGTGGCCTGTCAGTGAGGTGGTCTGTGATCCAGGCCATACATTATAGTTAAGAAAAAATTTATAATTAAACCACAATTACTTATGAAAATGTTCATGATTACATTGGGTGTTCCATCTAAGTATTTTCTGTAAAAAGCTAGGCTATATGTTATTATAATATTCAACTTTGTATGTTTTTTTATGTGCACAATGTCTTCCTTTACCATTTCCAGTCACAGCCATTTAGTAAAATTTGAATGCAATTCTGATGCTTTTGATTGGTTCTTATGTTTAAATTTGCAGCGCCAGCCATCTGCTAGTGAAATTGCCTCTCAAGCTGTCTTTTGAAAATGCTGAAAACATTAATTCGAAATTTAGCAAAGTAATCAAAAAGTAATTAAATGTTATAAGTTACATTGCTTTGAAAAAGTAATTGAAATAGTTACAATACTATTACATTTTAAATAGGGTACCTTGTAATTGGTAACCTATTACATTTCCAAAGTAACCTTCCCAACACTGGTTATGTTAAACAATCTCTGAAAGTTATCTTCTCTGAAAAATGCCCCCCAAAATATGAAAACATTGGGAAATATATAACATTTACTAACTTTTGCAGATTACCCACCGAACACAGTAACTTATATTTCATTTGTTTTCATTAAAACTGCTATGTTTTTAATTAACACCAAGAGCACTGCTGAGAGTTCAACTGTGTGTACACAAGAAACATCAGTTTGTCAAGGTCAGCCATGCTTTTTGTTTATGTTTGGCGGTCGGAAGTTAATTTTCAACTGAAAAATTCTGACCTCCAACTTTGATATGAAGTCAGCATAACTGCCCCCTTGCGCAGACCATTCTCACAACAATACAGTTTTCCAAACACCATTCAGAGTATATTAAATTATAATGCCATGTAAAGAAACAAATATTTGGAAAACTGGAAATACTTAACTAAAAAAGCCAAAGTGGATGATAATGTTATCTGTCCCTAAAAGAGATTATGAACTGGCAAAATATGACCACAATATGGCAACAGAAAAAGGAAGACACAAAAAATGATGGCACCCAAAATGACACAGAGATGCACTTCCTCCTATGGCGTAAAATATTAAATTAAATAAGGAGCACTCGCTTTAACAAATTCAACTCTGTAATCTCAGATTTCAAAGAGCTAAATAAGCTCTTCAGGAGACAGGGCACGCATCAACCTTGGCATCAACGTGCTGCAAAATGTAAAAAATCTAATTTTTTTAAATGTTGCAGTGTTTGTATAGTTCTCAGTTACTTGTATTTGTAACTGCAAGTCTACATGTGTTATCATTATTATTATTTATATTATTTTTTCTATTTTATTGCACACATACAAGTATATATTTATCAGTTTTTAATAGCAGAATTCTTCTGTTTGTACGTTTTCACGCTTGCTTTGGCGTGCATATGTCTGTTTCCAATACCAATAAAGCACCACTTAACACAATTTAATCTATACAAGTATTTGGAATATCATGTCCTATGCCTAAATAATTATTGTCGAGTAAACAGTGATCCAGAGAGAACCAGACTAATGGAACTTTATTCTGACTCCTTTCTTTCAGTTTACGATCTCACAACATGGCAACCCTGACTTCTGAAAGTCAAACTCTGCGGCCAATCACGAAGCCCAAAACGTCAGACAGAAGGCGTGCCCTGTGAGATCCATCTGACATATCTAGGTTTATAGCACATGGTGTCCCGAAGAGGGTGGATAGTACGTTCATTAAAAAAGAAGAACACGGATTTAGACCACTGAATGGCATGAGCTCACATTATTTTGTCTTTCTGATGAAGTATCACGCATTAGAAACTCTACTGCTATTACAAACATTCAAAGGCGTTCCACCACGCGTAACACCAGGTAGATGTGCAACGCAGTTGTACAAAACAAACGCCCCGACCGGTGATCAGTAACCTGGCTTTGACCAATCAGCGACGGTATTGATGCGAGTGACACACTCCCGCCAATTCCGACAGAGGAGCGCGAGGCAGGCAGTGGGGTAAACGGAGGGAGTATGTGGGAGATGCGGAAAGAGGAAGAGCTATGTTTTATGAGAAATAAATTAGAAATACATGTTGTTTAAATAGCAGCATAATATTAGGTGCGTTATCGGGGGGCATTCTCGGGTGTTTACGCAGCCTGCACCGTAGTTTTGAAGTTGTTTATCTCAAAGGAGAGGAGCACCGGGTTAGTGTTTGGGATGTTGGCGGCGGAAACCCCATCTGTGGACGGACACTTGGCAGCATCGACTCCCCGCAGAAGAGGTAATTCAAATATAGTAAGCTAATATAGGGTTCTGTTTAACTTGTCAAAATGTCTACTATTATACTACGGACGGAGTGCAGTTTGTTTCGTCTGTAACGTTAACTTACGTTTAGGTCCGAAAACAATGCCATGACAAACTAAACATAAATCTTTCTGTTGGTTAACGTTAAGTTAGTTAATGCTAGTAACCTCCTTTCCCGTAAAGGCATCTGTTAGCGACTGTCATTTTTACGAGCCAGACGATAACTGACTTAATCTGGACACTTTTCAAAGATTAAAGCTAACGTTAGCCCTGTTACAGCTAACCGGCTACCCGGCTTTGCTAATGTTATCGTGTTAGCTACCTAAAGTTAATTCGGTAACTTTAACGTCAGACTAGGAAGAATAACGTTGTGTTGAAGTAAGTTAGGCCTTAAACTAAGTTACCATACTTTTCCATTCACGAGACTGTAACCGTGCCATTAAAATGCGTGTAGCTTGGTAACCTGCGGCAAACATGTCGGCTTGCTCTGATATAAGTTAGTTGCTTTGCTAAGCCATAGCTCTACCCGAGGTGCCTAGCAGAGTTGCTAGTTTTGTTAGGTTAGCAGATAGGCTAGTCATGTTAGCATCTTTGAGTTGACCTCGCATGAAAGCTGTTTTCAGAGGTGAAACTTCAGAGCTAACTCTGTTGTCTTCGCTCTTAAAACAGCCACGTCTCTTGTAGCTGTAGTAACGCAAGTTACACCGAACAACTCTCCCTAGTTCATAAGTTTTTCAGCATTGTGGTCGGGCATGCATCCTTTGCCTGACAGCCGGACAAAGTGCCTGCCCTGCGGACTCGACCGGGCCTGCGGCATCCACTGATACACCGGTTGGCGGGAGAGCAAACCAAACACAAATGCTACATTAATTGTAATAACGTTACTGTATTAACGTTACATCGACGGTTCAATATAGTGTGACATTTTATGCAACACCTTCAAAAATAATACTCTCTGTGCGTTTTTGCTATTCGATAGACTTTCACGCCAATACAGGGTGATCAAGACTTGAGGACCCACCGTACACTCGACAGCTGCACTGGTATGTGGTTGTTAAAGTAGCGTTAGTAACGTTGAGTTGCTTCAAGCGGTGTCTTATCAATAAAGTTTCTGGGTGGAGTGGTAATGCGTTAATTTTGTGATCCGCGCCTTGGCTGTTAGTCCAAACTCAGTGATTCAAATTATTTGTATATGCAAAGCTTCAATTGCAGTGATTGTCATTTAAACTCAGCATTGTGTTCATCTGATAAAAGCTTTTTGTTATCACAACAGTTTTCAGTTCAACAGTGGTCAAAACGTGTTGATTTATTTTCTGGGACTAATATCAGTGCCATTTGAATGTTTCAATAATTCATTTATTGAAGTGAAGTTGTGGCATTCAGTATTATTTTCTGATGTGCATATGTTTTTGTTCTTTTCAGGCATGGATTGTAAGTCAAGTAACAATGCCAATAAGAAACTTATCCAAGGTAAGTACATCATTTACTTTTTATTTTTAAGAATTTATACACTATTGAAAGATTATCTATGATAAGACCGTATAATTATCATATTGAATATTTTAATAATATCTGTCTTACAATACCTTGCATATACAGTGCCTGTTAATTATTGCTGCACCTCATCATTCCTCATTTATGCGTATTTTGAGGGACTATCAACCTTACTCATACAGATAAGAGCTTCACAAGTTAAAATTCAGTCATGGTTATTTGTCCAGTACAGTAAAGAGCCCTGAATTTGTTAAACCCTTTAAGTCTGTGTTGTCACTGACATTACTTTGTATGTAGTCTATCAATTAATACATTCAGAAATACGGCACAAAACAAATATATATAAATATTTATTTAACTTGTTTAAAACCTTGTTACTCTCAGACTGCATTTTGATGAACAACTTTGCGATAGCCCTATCATCATCGTTTTCTACATTATGTGGACCGTTAAAACACAACAACCATTATGGTGACTGCATCTGTTTTAATTCTGCCTGCAGCTCGTCTCCCATTCAAGCGCTTGAACCCTGAACCCAAAGAGAACCAGCCGTCTAAACGTCCCTGCGCACATGCCTGCCCTGAACCAGGAGTCCCAGACAGGGAGAATGAGACCTCTGCACTCCCTGTGCACAGTGGACCACCCTTGGTCAATGGTCGCGGGCCCCTTGATGGCTTCCTGAGCCGTAGGTGCCCTGCACCATCAGATGAGAACATGGTAATAGATCTGACAGTGGACAACAGTTCGTCTCCCGTAAAGTGCCTTGTTTCACCTGCTCCTGCCTCTACCTGCCTCCCAACAAAACACCAACATCAGGGCAAGGACAGAACTGCCTCTTCTGGGAAATCCAGCAACGCTGATCAAACTTCTGAAACAAACGTTTTAGACTGCACAATAGACAGCGAAGATGAAGTAGACGAGGTTGAGGAAAAAGATGGGAATCAGACAGCATCTATCTCGCAGCTTGACACAACTCAGGATTCTGAAAGTGAGCCAGAGGAGGAGAACGAGTCAGGAAATGTTTCCAGTTTAGGAAACAGGTCCATGCTGTCGGCTTCATCAGCCAGCTCCTCATCCGAAAGCTCACCAGAGAAATCCAAGTCTGATGATCTGACACCCACTACTACACCTACAGTACGTACATCTCCGACGCAACATTTTTATCCCACATAGTGATGTGCAGTATTACCTGATGCAACATCACACAATGTTAATTAATCAGTATTCCCAATAGTTTGTTTGGTAATGTTGTTATTTATTAAAAAGTACAGCATGGTCAGCAAGTGTGTGATGAAATAGTTTTTCAAACAATAAGCTGTAAGTGGTTCAGTGATTAGAGCCTTTGTTTAGTGTTTGCTTTCTGCTATTAATAGAATTTGTAACATGTCTATTATTGAAATCATTTGTCTATAATTTGCGGAAATAAAACATTGACTAGGCTGGATTGTGTCAGACAATGATTATCAGTTTAATTTTTGTTTTTTTTCCTATCCTCATAGGAGCCAAAGACAACCCCCAAGATACCAGCAGATGAGAAAAAGATCAAAAGACGCTCATTGAAGGTAGGACTCTTGATGCAAGCGGTGTTTGAAACGTGTTTCAAATTCCCTAGTTGTCGGTTTAAAAACATTGTTTCAAAATCAATCTAATTTGTTTGTGCCTTATTTCACATCCACTTTGTGATTTATTAAACAGTTATTTTAGTAGAACAGAAAAACTGACAGGAATTTTGCAATTATAGAGTTTACAAGAACAAGAGAAGAGGCTTCGGCTGCGACAGGAGAAAGAACGTCAAAAGGAAGAGGCTAAAGCCGCAAAGGAGAAAAAGAAAGAAGAGGCTCGCAAGCAAAAGGAAGAGCGAGAGAAGGAAAAACGAGAAAAAAAAGAAAAAGACGAGAGAGAGAAACGAGAGAAGAAAGAGAAGGAGGAGAAGGAAAAGGCAGAGAGGTTAAAAGCAAAAGAGGAGCAACGGAAATCAAAGCTGGAGTGAGTAACGCAGGTCTCTGTTACTATAAATCTACCATTAAAAAAAGATACATACCCATTTTAGATGTTTTCAGGACCGTAGGTGTTGGTTAAAAATGTGATAACGCACTTTGATTTTAGTGTACTGAATGTTTTGCTTTAATTTATGTTCAGGGCAAAGCTTGAAGAAAAAAGGAAGAAAGAAGAGGAGAAGCGAATGAAGGAAGAAGAGAAACGGTTGAAAGAAGAGAAAGATGTAAGTTTATGCAAATTAGTGTTGATATGAGCTAGGTAGGTGCTACATCTGTTCCAGATTTATAATGGACCATTTTACTGACGTCTGTTGATCAATGTGTATCTGTTTACAGCGCCTCAAAGCTGAGAAAGCCGAAATTACACGGTTTCTACAGAAGCCCAAGATCCAACAGGCTCCAAAGGTTAGTAAATATCACAATTTATAACAGAAAAATGCAACATTCCTTTCACTTTAGGTTTTTAGGTTATTCATGCAAGTTTTCCCTCTGGAAACTGTTTTGAGATACAATGTTTGAGTTGTGACACATGCACTGATTCCCTGTAATCCCCCCTTTTAACTAATAGTCAACTGAAAAATGAGTACAGATAATATAACTGCTACTTGCCGTGTCCGTTTTTCAGACACTTGCAGCTGCATGTGGGAAGTTTGCTCCATTTGAGATAAAAGAAAACGTGTTCCTGGCTCCGCTGTGTCGGGTTCAGTGTGAGGACTCTGTTCTGGAGGATCTGGACCGGTGTTTGTTGAACCCCCCTGATAACCTGAATGGACTGAAAGACTGGATTGGGCAAGAACCCCGCTGGTCAGGACCCACCAAACCCAGACACACTGAATCACTCAGGTGAGACTTGCAATAGTAATAATCATGGTTGTTTTGCATCTGATTCACACATTAGTCACATTATCAAAATGGATCAAGTCTACTGATAAAAACTCATATGGTGATATTGTAGTGACCAAGAAACCATTTGAGCTGAAAATACCATCGATATGAACAGAAGTGGGCAAAAAATGCATGCCAGTATCAAAGTTTTTTTCTTTTCTTTTTTCTGGCACCCAAAGTCAGTGTATCAGCTAGTAACTATCTGGAATCTCCATTAGCAGTGCTGTTGTGCCCATGAGCATATGACACCGTCCTGTATTCATGTGCGTCTGAATAGTTTATGATTTCACCGCTTTCCCTAGGTTTGTGGAAGACTAAAGTGCAATTTATACTTCTACGTCAAATTGACAGCGTAGCCTCTGCGTAGCCCCCTACCATACGGCGTCAACTATGGCGTAGCCTGACGTGCACCTCCTCAAAAATGTAACTACACGTCGAGTCGATGCAGACTGTGAGCTCTGTGATTGGTCGGCTGGGTAGCCTCGCAACGCCTCTGAGCAGACAGAAAGTGCCCGTGCTTTGAAGTAACTTTTACTAGCGGCCAAAACGGCAGCTGTAACACAGTGGATCAATATATTTGACCGTCACAACCCGAGCGAAATGACTCGTTTCACTATCAGAATGTGATCCACTCGGTCGATAACATTTGAAACGGCTATACCAGCTGCAAGTATACAATTTTACCCCCATTGACGTTAGCGGAGGGCTAAAATGGAAGTTAGCCTGCTTGGCCGGCAAGAGTCAACACAGTGGACGCTGCTGACTAGCGTTTGGGGGTGTAATTGTGGGAAGTTAAAGTATAAGTATAAATGCCTGGCTACCCTACGCAGGAGTATAAATTAAGTTTAAGGTGCATGTATTTGGTGGGGGGGGGGGTTAGGGATACCCAAGAAACCTTTACTTAAAATGTTGATTATTGAGACCAGGGGTCCTATCTTGCACTTGGCCCGTGTCATTGCTAGTTTCCAGTCGTTGCAGGTGTCATTTTCATGCCTAGCACCCACGCTTTTTAAATAGCAATTGCACTTGCGCAAATGTGTGTGCCCATGGGAGTGTTGGTCTTAAAATTAGGTGTGATCAGGTAAATTGTTGACTCATTGCTATCTTGGCAGCAGAAAAACGATTGCGCCATTGACCAAAAATACCCAGGTCTAAAGTCAATGGCGCAGCATTTCAGGTTGTGTTTTTGTTATTGTAAGGGCGCATTATTCCGATGGGAAGATGCTCTTAAGAGAGACACTGTGCGCATTTACACATGAGGCACAACAGCGTAACTAAGATGAATTCAATTTCCTCTGGAGATTTTCCTCTTTCCTGTCCTGTAATGTTTATAACTACAGTTTTTTTTGTTGTTGTTTGTTTTGATGCTTAAATGCCCCATGATATTTGCTGTGACTTTATTACGCACATGTAAACATTTAAAATGACTCACAGCACGCTCTGTAATCATGAAAGTGAATCGTTAAAGAAAACACTCGTACTGCAATTAAACACAAAATAAAGAAACCACTGGAAGAGAGATGTGTGACTCTCAACTGGTTCATCATAGTTAATAATAATGCAGCGCAGTGAGGATCCAGATGTTTCATAGATGAGACAACGTCTGTTAACAGACTCCAGTCTGCTGCACTGATAAACCACAGAGCTACAGAGTAACACTAGTCTTCATGATCAGAGACGTTTTTTTATATCATGTCCGCACTTCTGTCCATATCCCCCCTCTGCTATGAGTCAGTCAATTGATGGTTTTTGTAATGCGCCATTCACCCGCCATTATAATAGCAAGGTGCTACAGTACAAGCGTACCTGGCTTTTAAATGGAATGGGAGATGACACTGATTGGTTTATTGCATGTTACGCCCAAAACACATCCATGACTAATTCCCACACTAAGTACAACCCTTTTGAATCATGAGCCTGGCGCACTAACCATTTGTTTCACTCGCAAAATTGGAGTTTGCCATGCCCCAAATGCAACTGCGCCATGCGCTTTAACAAGCTGTGCACTGTGGCCCTGAAAGTTAATAAGTGGAATTTAATGTATCTTTAACATGCTGCAGCTGCCCCTAATTGTGTTGCAACTGTCCCCAGGTTTGGGGGTCAGTTGCGTCTGACATCTATTCAAATAAATATTGTGAATGATATGTCATATGTAATAATCATTAAATGGGATGGGTCATAGCAGACAGATGTAAGTTTAATATAACAATTTGATTGAACTAGTCCAAATAGTCTCTGAGGAACTGAGAAAAAAATCAGGCTTCCCTGCTCAGCATCCAGACTGTAGTCTGAAGCACAGGGGAGCTGTTAGTTAGCACTAACCGCCTTCACTTTTCCAGCAGTTTGAAAACAACAGACTTTTCTTCTTCATTAGAAGCTGCGGCATTTATTAACTAACACACTGTAACCTACACTGTACATTTACTGCCAGACAGACGTAATGCTAATCTTGTCCTCTTCTCTGATCACTTTCACCGACACTGCCGCTCACTTTCTTTCTCTCAACCAAACACTCTACGCACACACATTACACATTGCCATATTCCTTAGAGAAGTTACGCTACTCTGATAACGGTGACTTTAAAGTAGATTTCATGTTAATGACGAGGGGGGAGCTAGCTAACCGTGTAATCGTGCAAATGTATGTAAATCATTAGGAGCACATTGATATTAATGATATTGCGGCGGTGCTGCTGAATGAATAAAGGGAAACTGTGTGGAACTGATTAAGATTGTTCTGCTGTGTGTAAGGCAGTGTGAGGCTATAGCTTCAGTTCTTCACTATAAGTAGAGATTTTAATAATAATCTTGTTTACACTTATGCACGTTTTAATTATAGCATAAAGCTTTTTTTAATAATTGTGCATAAGGTAAGGCAAATTTATTTATTTAATTTAAAAACGCGTGGCAGCACTAGAACATCAACCTCATAACGATACCTGTGCACAACACGGTCTATGTCCTCATAAACCAAAACCAATCTGCTAAATGTAGCTCCTCAGTTATTTTTGAACATTTGAAACGGTTTTAAGTTGCTAAATCTTCATTGCTAATTAGCTATAACACCAGTCTTTGTTTTATCAATCATTGTTAATCCTTTAATAAAAAGTGGTTATAACTGTCATCATATTTTGCAGTTAATGCAGGATGTGGTGTCACTGCCTCTATTTTGGGAGTTTTGTGAAGGTTAACAACAACAAATTATGAATTGTCATTGTCTATATTTGTTGCCTAAAAATATTTTACCAAACAAACTTTCCATTTGGTTACATTAGGGTTAACTGCTCTGTAGCATTTTCTGAACAATTTGTAAAAAGCTCACCTGGCTTGGCCACCTGGCCAGTTTATGGCTGTGGGATTCCTGTTATAGTCTCAGCTGTGCGCCATGTTTCATGGCCATGGCAATCTCAGCCAGAGCAAATTAATTAATAATCAAGTTATTTTATCTGGATTGTGTGGTTTGTGTAACTTATATACATTGTATCATGTGTGCCTAAATATATATATTTAGGAAAACTGTATTTTTTTAAAATTCGCTTTATGGTTAACCAGTCATTTCCCCCTATATGTACTGTTTCTCAGCGAGTGTATAACAGTGGAAGGGCCCAAACCAGATGGTGTGCCAGATCGTAAACGATATGGGCCCATGAAGCTGCTACAATTCCATGAGAATTACCGTCCAGCGTACTGGGGCACATGGAGTAAGAAAAGCTCACACATCTCACCTCGCTGCCCCCTCAGACAAGACAAGGTAAGACTGTTCAGTGTAGTGAAATCCTAACAGTACAAAGCATTACACACTTTTTAATGGTAGATGAGATTGACTCTTTTGGCATGTGTCTAAAAAAAACCAACGTCTTTGTCGACTGAGAACCTAGATTTATTTATGTATGCTTATCGACCACTTTCAAAATTTTTGCTTTGACTCAATACTTTGACTTTATCCATGAATTGTATATGCGTAATATCTGTTATCTAATGTTATCTGTTCTGTAACCACAGGAGTTGTTGGACTATGAGGTGGACAGTGATGAAGAATGGGAGGAAGAGGAACCCGGAGAGTCCTTGTCGCATAGTGAAGGGGTGAGTTTCACTGTAGTCTGAAAATTTTGAAAAGTCTATGTAGTGCAGTTTTTCTGCCAGATATTGCGATTGTGTTTGGATTTGCAAATTTTATTTAAGTTTTGCTAAAATTCAATATTCACTGCCAGTCTGTTTTTGACGGAAGCCATGTCAAGCAGCACAGAGCAGATGAATCGGGCAGGATGTCAGAACGGCATAGAGAATCCGGTCGATTTTCAAAATAAAACACCCTGTGCAGACTAAACAAAGTTGAAACAATTTAACTACGAGGCATACTTAACCATAGTAGAAGCACAAAAATCAAGGACAAATAAGCAAAATCTGAACAATTCAACAAAATCAGGCATGCAAAATGCTCTTATTCTGAAATGCTCCATGTGGATATGTAATGTTAGCCTGCACAGAGCGGAACGGGCTCACAGAGAGCTGTGATCGTAGTTGAAGCACAGAAAATGACAAATTGTTGTCATGTTGTTAACAACATGTAGGCTAAACGCTCCACTGCTGAAATACTTCAGTGTGAGGTGACACTGGACAAAACCACGACACAGCCACTGCCTGTGACGGTTAAGCTGACGCCATTATCCCACATTTTCCTCTAGTTTCGTTTGTTGTTATAAAATGTACACGTCCTGTGCCCGCTCTGATTTGTGAGTAGGACCACAACAGGAGGCGCATGGCGCTTGTGATTGGCGAGCAGATCTGTCACACAAGAATGACAAGGGAATGAATTTGAAACTGCATGACTGTTTAAAATGGTTCAGATGTGCTGTTTAATTGACCTACATTTTAATCGCTGTCTTCACGATTAGCTAATCGCGTTCTTTAAAATCGCAATTTCGATTTGAAAACGATTAATTGTTCAGCCCTAGCATCTGTTTCTCAAGTCAACAATTACCAATAAATTGAATTAACAAACATGCAAAACAACAACTTTTTTAAAGGGTTTGAATAAAAATATTTATTAGTGTTTTGACACTGAAATGATGTCTTAAAGAATAAAATTACTTTGACGACAACAGTAATGAGTTTTATGTTGCAATCTATGCATGGCTTTTTAGCTGACCTTTGTCAGAGTCTGTATGACACCAAGTACAGAGGTCAAATAAAATTAATATCTGAATAATCAAAGCATATCATTAACTATTGTTAGTGCCTTAAATGTATCACAGGCCTAGCATGTCAGGAAATAGACTGAACTTGAACAAGCAACAAAACACTTCATCAAATTCGTCATACATCTTCACAACTAGGAAAGTAGTAAACAATGAGATGATAATAATTTCATTTTCTTTTTTAAAAAAGACTTTGAACTGTTGATAATTTTCAGGAAGATGAGGAGGAAGGAGGGGAAGATGATGATGACGATGGCTTCTTTGTTCCTCACGGCTACCTTTCAGATGATGAGGGTGCTCTAGAAGAAGAGGTATGAGGGGAGCTACAATCTTGGTTCTTTTACAACACATTTTTATTTGTCATCTTAATCGGACAAATAGGTGTTTGGATTTTCTTGTTTGTCCCAGGAGGGTGGTGACTTGGAGAAGCAGAAACTACGTCAAAAACTGAAAGCAAGAGAGTGGGATGAGCTGATGTCCACCAAGAAGAAGATGAAGGTGCTGGAGCCAGTGCTGAGGGGCTGCGTCTGGGAGGGAGAAGGACCTGCTCTGCAGCTCTTCCAGCCTTATGCTGTGTGTCTGGTCGAGCCTTTACCCAAGGCAGACACCAGCCCCAGCCCAGAGGAGCTGTCGCAGAGGTGTGAGAGAGACGCGCAATGTAAGTGTGTGTGACTTGATTCACTTGCATTAAAGTTGGAAAAACAGCCTTTCTTTAGGTGAAGATCCATTAGGGACCAGACAAACTGAGTTGACTGTCACCTTTAAGGTGCTGTTGGACTATGAGTATGATGGCTCAGTACTGTTGGTCTGTTCTTTATTTGGTGGATCAATACCTTTAAATACAGTTACGTTACATAATTATTAAGCATAGCCCTCTTTTCTCTTGGTAAACATAGTTTAATTAGGGTTGGAAATAAAAAGCAATTGCAACTTGGTTAAATAAAAAAAAAATATACCTGTATAAATTATCAAACTTTTCTACAGAGAAATTTAAATATATTTCTGTGGAAATATCTTAACTAAACTACTTTTAAATGTTTGTTTATGAGCTAATGATGCATTCTAAAAATTTCTGTTATGCTCTTTTCTACCACAGTACTTGGTCAGCTGCTGCCTCTGCTGCATGGCAATCTCAACAGCAGCAAAGTGATCATCACCGAGTTTCAGGAGTTTTGTCGTCAGCAGACCACCTCCTCATCATCACCTGCTGAACTGTCCAGTCCTCAGAGCCCAGTAGAAAACATTCCCACCAGGTGAAACCACAATATTTGACAATTCTGTGTAAAGATGATCATATAATAAATAATTTAATTAATACAATTGTCTTTGCCCAAACTAAAACAATTTACCTCTCTTTAAAATCTACAAAGTAGAATTTAGTTTCAGTGACTCCATTATCTAAACATATGTTTGGCCGTTAAAATAATAAAGCCATTGTACATCTTATTTAGAAATACATGACTTTTTGTTTTATGTCAATTAAAATGATACATTTTCCCTTTTTGTCTTTCATCAGAATACAGGTGAAGCGCCTCATTAAGAACAATGCTGTTTATGAGAAGCGCTCAACCTACAGACGCTGCTGCTGGTATGTGCATGCGGAGGTCCTGTCCCGCTTTGGTCAGGAGTCTCTTCCTGTGCCCTGCCAGTGGACCTACCTCACCACAGGAGCTCGAGAAGAGTCCCGTGAAGAACCCCAGGCAGCCACAGGCTCTCAGGGAAACTCTCCCACTACACCCCAGACCTCCACCACCACGTCTTCATCCTCCAACAAAAGAAAGAGCACCGGTAGCATGTCAATCACCAAGTTCATGAAGAAATGTACTGACCCCGAGCAGGTAGTGAAACACACTCAAACATATTGTCAAAGTACCATGCAGACTTCACTGCGACTTTTTACTTCTTTGTGTACTCTTATGTTGTGCTTTTTTGGTATATTTTGAAAGTATGCCTGTTTCTGTCTAAAATGGACTTAAAACTATTTGCCAGACGGAAGCAATGGAGGCAGACGGTTTTCAAGCTGACACTGAGGAAGACGACGAGGAAGACTGTGTCATCCTCTCCATACAGAGTGGTGAGTTATGCAGGAGGAATAAAAAGCTGTCATGTCTTTTAATGTTTACTGCTTACAGACTATTAAAAAAATTACATTATCATGATGAAAAAACTATTGCAGATGTTATTGTCACAGACCAGCTAGTGATGGAATAGGACAGCATAATCAGCTTTTACAGCTACAGCCAGACAAACAAAACATTTAGACATACTTTCTTATTACAGATTAATCAGTTTTGCCATCTTTAATTTGTATCTTAGTATAAATACTGGAAGCAGAGGAAAACAAGTAGTTTGGTTTAGTCCACAGTTAAGAATCTGGTAGGGCTGCACGATTAATCTAGTCGCAATGTGCGATTACATAACCGCAAAAAGTGTGTGATTTCATAAAACAGAAAAGGTGTGTGGCGCTGTCTTCTGTGTGCGCTACAGTCTGCTCATCATCTCCGCCCACACCGGGCTCTCGCATGTGGCTCTACAAACGTATGGGCCTAAAAATGATTCATGGGCAGTGTGGAACTTACTAACTTTTAAGGCCACAACCTCCCACCCCGCCCCTAATCGTTCAAAACATAGTCTGATGTGCCACCGGTGCACTGACAACTGCCGGCGCTCCAGTTGCTCTGTGACAGAGACGGAGAGACTGCAGCTGTCTGCAGCTGAAGCGGTCAGACAGAAGAAAACTGTGAGAAGATGAGGAAAGTTTGGGTTTGGCTCGCTGTCGTATCGGTGCCTTTTGGTTTTTTTTACTTTTCATAAAGCGGACGTGCCTGTAAGTTTAAATTTGAATCGCAATATTGTCCACAATAATGGCAATATGACTTTTCTCCAAATCGTACAGCCCTAGAAATTAAGGTTAAACAGTTGAACCATCCTACCAGTAATACTGTGCAGAGCGTCTCTGGCTATAGCGTTGGCTAAGCTAATCGTCTCCCTGCTCTTTATCAATGTATGGATAATTTTATAATGGGTCCTTGTGTGTTTTAATGCACCTGCCTCTTCATTAACAAACACCTGCAGTCTCTTGATAGACTCCGGTTTTAAAATTGATGTATATGTTTGTTTTGTGTGTGTTCATAATGTAAATGACACCTAATTAAATATTAATGTCTAGGTCCAACCAGAGAGGACTCACCCAACAAGGGAGATTGTCTGATGGAAGTCAGCCCCTCCGAAACAGCTGCTCTCCCTGTGGCCAGCGCTGCTCCTACACTTGCCACTGCCTGAGGACAGGAAAGACCGTCTCATCTAACCAAGCTACCCCGATTCCTGGTTCTGAACTCTACCCGTGTCCAAGACACAATCAAGTCTTCAAACAAGATGAAGCACCTCACACTCTGGTACATGCAACTCTCAAGCAAGAGGCGTCAGTATTAGGAGTTTCCTCTCGCCTAATTTTTTTCAAGGAGTCAGGAGTCATCTTGCCTATAAAATGTAGTTTTGCATAAAAGAGTGACTTGGTTATTGAGGGCAGGTTTGTCCAGTGCTGATTAACTATGTCTGAGTTTTACATTGAAGTTTCAGTCAGGCAGGTTTGGCATGGGCCTCTTTAAAGTGGATGGTGAACGTTTCACTGGCACTGCTTTAGCTACATCAGATGGAGTTGAACAGAGGGAGGAAGAGCGGAACAGAAATGCCCAATTTTCACGAGAAGCATCCAAGACATCAAGAACAGCGTTATTTGAAATGTTGAATTGATGATGATATTGGATTTCCTCTAGTCTAAATGTATATAGTTTACCAGAAATAAGAGTTTGGAAATGAGAGGCTTAAAGTCCATCTGTAAATTTCCCTTTTGATTTCAATGGGTGCATTTATTCTGCAATTTCTAAGTCTGACAACTCACTGGATCAGTTACTAGATCTGTACCTATACAGTTAGGTCCAGTGTCACATTGTTTTATAAATATGTATTTTCTGTATTTTTTTTTCTGTATTTTTTTTCAAGAATACTTGAACAGGATCAATTCAGTAAACATGAATAAAAGTACTGCACTTTTATATCACTTTGATTCCTTGACACTTCATCTTGGTGCCTTGGTCACCACTGACAGTCACTAGTTGTTTTTTCTATCAGGAACTGTGCTGTTTTGGTTGGGACTTGGCTGTAGAAGAATATAAGAGTTGATGCTCAACAGTGACATCACAACAGTAGTGTGTTTACTTGACAGAATGCTTCACACACATGAAGCTGCCATCACCACAATTCATGTGTGTTCCTGCTGATGTGTAGTTACAACAAACATGGCATTAAGCATTCAGATCTCAAAGTTGGTCCAATCAGACTGTAGAACCATCTTCCACTTTATTTATTAGTGGCACTTAATCACAGGTCTTACTGTAATCACAGGTAAACAAGCTGAATTATATCTGCTGTTGATTCACTGTTACGCAACAAAACATTAAACAGACGGGAGTGACCATCTTTAAAAGGCACTGTTTATTACAACTCTGGGCCAGTAATCTGTGTTTTGAGGTTTGAGGTGGAGGGGAAAATAAGTCTGCTACTTAAGTATTACATGTTCACATTTACAGTGTGAGACGTGCACTGAACTCTCAATGTTTAATTTGCTGGTTTGTTTTCAATAAATAATTATTTAACACAACTATGTCCCAACACAAGAATGCAAAACATTTCTCAGCTGAAGGAGCGTTTAGGAAATTGTAATGGTGCGTGCATGCATACGTACACGCGCACACACACTGTCATGTGTAGTAGTTGTAAAGCAGCTTAAACAGTGACTTGCCTCAAACAAAAGTTAAGATGCAGCACAAGCGATTTTTATTACAGGCAGGTTATATATTACAGAACACAACTCAGAAGGTCTGGACAGATCACAACTGCTCACGGATTCTTTTAATAAGGTTACAATGCTGCTAAAACATTTACATACTCCCAGTTAATACTTGTGGACAGGCTGAATGAGACAGCAGAGGAGTGCAGAAATGTTGCTTACAGCTGACTTGGCTTTACAAATGCTGGGGTTGTCCATCAGATTTTACACCTGACCTCAAATGACAACCCAGCAGTTACAATATGTTTTATTTTTGGTGTGCATCTATTAAGTGGAGACAATGATGTATATTGCAAAAAACAACAACCTTTTAAGATATCTATTTTTGTTCCTCGTGTGTACAACTCACCTGGAAATTTTTAGCAGTGAGAGGTAGGTAGGTTGTTGTCAACTTGACCAACCACAAGCAGGGGATCCTATAATTAGCTTTTTACAGATTTACCTGGCTTAGGTTCATGTACAGCTGAAACCACTACCAAAATAAATGTATTAACTTTCAATGGAAAAGGCGGACCTAAGACATTTAACACAATGTCGGTACATTTAAAGCTTCAGTCTTGTTTCCCAGCTGGATTTAGGGGGCTGGAAGGTGCTATGAATTGCCTTTTCATATCCTCCCACCATGTCTGAAATAGACCCTTTTTATCTCCAGGAAATGTAATTGATGCAGACAAATACAAGACTCAAAATTTATTTTAACGACCATTATTAAAACGAATTCATGCCTGCCTGCATGCCAGAACAACATGAAGCATTTGCAGTGAGCCTCTACAATTAAACTATTTATCACTTGAGTAGTGTGAACAAAACAATGTTTGAGTTGTTTTTTTTTTTTTACCATTTTACATTTAGAGCCCACTTTCTAATGAAAGTGTTTTATAAAAGTTTTAAATAATCCTCAAAATGTGCTTAAAACTGGTAAAATAAGAAAATATTTTGGTATTAGAATCTCCATCACATTATCAGCACGTGTCAATCTTCAGTGAAATTAACCAGAAAGAGAGGGGTGAAACAAATGTAATTATCGAAGCAACCAGAGAAGTTTGTTGTACAACTCCACGGAGTGCCGGGCCACTGCAGAGTAGAGGACACACGGCAGGCTAGACTCATCACACCAAATCAGACCGGACAACCACCAAAACACTGAACCAAACAAAAGCTAACTGCATTTCAAGTCAGTGCACAGACACCCTGCCGCTTTTAAAATTAGCTAGGTGCTGAGATATCCAATACAACAGTATCTGATCGGAGTTACATGGCTTCACTATTAACAGATTTTCTTCTACATGCCTGTACAGCCAAATGTGTACACTGTTAATCTGGTAAATGGACCGTTTACTTCAAAAAAGGGGGAGGAAGTGTTGACACAGTTAAAATGAGGTCTTTCGACATGCCACGTGACTTATACCTGACTGTTGGTTGCAGAGCACAGGGGACTGATGCCACAGTCTGTTCACTGCACAGCATGTACATTCAGGATGCAACAAAAACAATAAATAAACAATACTTGTCCCTTGCTTCCTTCCTTATGTTTGTTAGTAACACTTCCCTCAACACAATATGCTGCTGAGATCGTCTGTAGTGTGACATTATCCCCACGTTTAGAGAGAAGGGTGTGCTCAGCAAAACAAGCGCATTAGGGTGAAGTTGCCCCTTATCTGTCACTGCTACTGACTGACATTATAAAATAAACTTATCGCTAGTCATCTGTAAAAGGGGCAATTCCAACCCGGTAGCACTACAGAGGAGGGGAGGTAGCAGGGGGAGCTCAGAGTGTCTGCTCAGCTCAGGGTCCGAATGGTATCCAGCAGCTCTGGTTTGAGGAGGGAGGGGCTCTTTCCACCTGCAGCTGCAATATCTGCCTGCACAGCTGCATCCCAGGCAAATGTGAGCAGAGCTGCAGGGACCTGAAACATAGGCACAGTTTGTTTTAACAGTTTAATTATAACTGCAGAAATAAAGGATGACACCTTGGTTTGTGTGGGGACTGCAGCTCAACAACTTTAATTTTTAATATATTGGTTTGTTGTGTCATTAATATAGAAAAATAATGACAAAAACTTAAAAAACTGACCTAAAACATTCACTTTTATTTAAAAAAAAAAAAAGGACTGTGGATTCCTAAACAGCTGGGCAATGTAGTTTTTTTTATATAATATTGTTCAGACAAGCACAAACTCTGCCTTTGTTGGGGACTATTTTCAGCAGTGGATGAATACTCATTTGGTGCCCTAGTGTGCATTTAAAAACTAAAGTGTGTGTTTTCATGGTCACCCAGTTTAATAATGTAATGTAATAATAATAATGTGTAAAAAGGAAACAGTTTACACTCACCAAGTTACACTCTGCAAGAGCAACTTCTTCAGACTCTTGTAGTTTCTGACTTCCAGGTGCAATGAGCTCAAAGGGCTGCCAGCCATCCACCAAGGACTCCCGTACAAACCCGAACAGCACAGGCAGCCGGTCCCACGCATAAAAAGTTCCTGGAATCACACGTCATCTTTATTGACTTCCATTTCTATCAGGGCTTTCAACAAAGTTTTGTTTTGTTTCCTTGTTGACTCGTTTTGCACTGTGCTGATGTATTGACAGAAGAGGCTTACCTTGTAGCAGGTTTCCATCGGGCAGTCTGATCCTGAGCAGGGTGTAGTTGTATTTCCTTCTCTCCCTCTGCTCCTCTTTCTCCCTCATGGCCTTAGTGCGCAGCATGGCGTTCTTCTCCAACATCTCACTCCTGGGAAAAACACATAAGACATTGTAAATCATTGACTGCAGGTTCATGAAAATGAAGATGGACAAACATAAGACCAGGGAGGTGTGCCCGATGCATCCAGCGAGCACATAAGACAGGGAAAGGGTTGAAGGGATCCATTATCGTACATTATTGATGTGTGTGTTGAACGCTGTTAACAATCATGGTCAATTGCATCTGCTCTTTGTTAGGGAGAGGAGGGGGATGGCATGCAGCAAAGGGCCAGGGGTCTCATTTATAAACGGTGCGTATGTACAAAACAGGGCTGGAAACGTGCGTACGCCACTTCCCAAGCAAAGGTTGTGATCTTTAAAAAACAAACTTGACGGGAAAATGTGCGGTCCAGTAAGTAAACTCTGAACCATGCGTACACACATAAAGAGGAGAAATGAGAAATGGCGACTCGCATGGCAGAAGAATGAAACACTTTGAAATGAATAGGGCGACTATTGTGTAAATTAAATCGAAATATTACCTCTGAGTATTATAGGCTTAAAACCTTTCTGGATTTGAATGCAATATACATCAGTCAAATATTCAGCAATAATATAATATCTATTTTTCAATAGAAGTTCTGGACATAGTGAAAGTGTGACTGAAGACATGTGGTTGTTTTGCAAGAGTTGCTGCTTGTGCAAGATGTAATCGAAACAATGAATTAGCAGTGCATAATCACACTTAAAAAAAAGCAGATGTTAAGAATCCGATATAGAGCTTTACTCTCCCGCCCGGGCATCACTACCACAATCAGACAAATTGTTTTATTTTTTCTGTGTACAACATTTAGACATTTTGTACTTCTGCTGTTGCTCCTTCTTGAGGTCCTCCGCTGTCAGGTTGTAGAACTCCGGCGGCAGCTCAAAGCGTTGGGCGTTGGGAGAAGGTCTGAACGCCTGAGGCTGCCTGTCCAGCTGAGCTCGGACTGGCTCTCCTCTCTGGAGACGATCCCTCCGCTCCTTCATCAACTCCAGGTCATCGGGACTTTGCTCCGGTAACACCAGGAACTCCTCTTCCTCCTCTGATGTCCAGGAAAGGCAAGCACAAATCAAAATATGTTTTAACAACTGATGAATGTTAATGAGAGATCCGTGATAGATCATGGGAAATCCCCTGACACCAACACCCTGTTGATAAGGAACTTGTTCATGAACATGCATCAGGATTAATTTACCTTGACCTTCTACAGGAAACGTAACGCTAATGAAGCCCAAGGCCTGCAGGAACTCTCTGCTGCCCTCCACACAACGAACTTTCTCCTGAAATAAATCAAAAGAGGGAATGATACTAAAGAAATGCAAAAAGATGCCACACAATTGTCATTCAATATCATAAATGTTTGCGGGCCTGTGGTGCAAAATCACCTGGAACACCTTGTTGCTGAGTTTAATCCTCCTGTATTTCTCCTCTGTGGGATTCTTACATATATTGTCAACATACCTATTGACAAAATAAACAGGAA